TGTGTCGATAGCTACAGTGTGGGAATCTCATAAGGCATATATAAGAGGTATCCTGATTGCGGTAGGGGCAAGAAAGAAAAATGAGAGAAGAGAAAAAATTAGTGGGCTCTTAAAGGATATATATGACCTGGAACAGATACATAAAAATAGCATAGCAAAAGAATTTAAGCAGAAGATAAAAAAAAAGAAGAGCTAGAGACTTTATGGAGGAGGAGAGAAGGAGAGTATATAACAAAGAGCTAAGCAAGAGGTATAGATGGGGAGATAGACCAGGAAAACATTTAATGAGAGCTTTAAAGAAAAAGAAAAATAGGAATTATATAGAAAAAATAAAAAGCACCAAGGGAGAACTGGTTTATTCAAACAAGGAAATCGAAAGGTGTTTATGGAATATTATAAAAAGTTGTATAAATATTAACCCCTTGACTCAGTAAAAAATATGGAAACTGAAAACAGGAAAAAAGGAAGGGAATATTTAAAAAACGCGGGTTTACCGAAATTAAAAGAAGCACAATTAAACGCCCTAGAAGCAGAAATTACACAAGAAGAAATAAAAGTAGCGTTAAAAAGCAGAGACGGGAAAAAGTCCAGGACTGGATGGCTATACGGTGAGGTATTATGAAAAAATTTTAGTGAGTTATTAATTCCCAAGATGGAGAAATATATGAATGCTCTGGGAGGAGAGATGGATATGAGGAGAGAATCTCTACAGGCACATGTGGTGTTGTTACATAAGGAGGGAAAAGACGCTTCACAGTGTTCTAGTTATAGGCCAATCTCATTGTTGAACTCAGATACCAAGCTATATATGCTAAGGTCTTAGCAAACAGGCTGAAAGAGCTTATGCCAGAATGGATACACAGGGACCAGGTGGGATTTGTCCCAGGGAGGGAGGGTAGGGACAATGGGTTGAGATCCCTGATGCTTATTCAGAAAAGTAAAAAAGGGGAGGTACCGGCGGTGGTTCTTTCGATCGATGCTGAAAAGGCCTTTGATAGAGTAAGCTTCATGATGGACACCTTAGAAGCCCTTGGAATTGGAGCTAGAATGAGAGAATGGATTAGAAAGTTGTATAGAGAGCCCTCTGCAGTTATAATAGTAAATGGGGAAAGAACAGAGCCTATTGGGATGTCAAATGGAACAAGACAGGATTGCCCATTGCCCCCCTTGTTGTATGTTATGTCATTAGAGCCCTGGTTGTCTACAATAAGGAAGAATAGAGATATAAAAGGAATTCAGATAGAAACCATAGAGCACAAAGTGGCGGCCTTTGTAGATGATTTGCTATTTTATGTGGGCAACCCCAGGATAACACTTCCAAACTTAATAAGGTTGCTGAAGGAATATGGGGAATTATCAAATTTACAAATTAACCCACCAAAAAATGAGATCCTTAATATAAATATTCCAAAAGGTGAAAAAGAGAAAATACAAAAGGACTTCCCTTTTATTTGGAAAGAAAGAGATATAAGATACTTAGGAGTAAGACTCACCGCTGCATATAAGTACTTGTATAAATTAAACTATATTTCATTATTAAATGAAGTTAAGGAGGAATTAAAAACATTAGAAAGAGGAATCCTATCATGGATAGGACGTATACATTTGGTAAAAATGATAATCGTACCTAAAATCTTATATGGATTTCAAATGATCCCAATTAAACTTCCAGAAGTTTTTTTCCAAGGTAATAAAAAGAATGATAACAAGATATATCTGGAGGAATAAAAAACCGAGAGTGTCTTATGGAATATTAAGTAGAGATAATGAGAAGGGTGGATTGGGAGTTCCAGATATTAAGAGATATTACAAAGCAGTAATATTAGGGAGAATTTTTGATTGGACATTTAATTTAGAGGGGAAAAGTTGGGTAAAAATGGAAAATGCACTAAGTGGAACTAATTTGAATAGAATTATTTGGTTACCTGCACAATATAGAGGATTAAAGGATGATGTAAGTGTATACACTTTAAATGTTTTAAGGGAATGGAACAAAGTACACAAATATATGAAGTGGGAGTTCAATTCTATATTAATGCCACTAAGGAATACAGAATTTTTTCCCCCAGGCAGAGAGGAGATAACAGGTAGATGGTTTAAAAAGGAGGATGTTCAACTGAGAGATATAATGGTGGAGGGGAAATTGAAGCCATATAAAGATTTGGTAAAGGAAAAGGGGGAGATGTTTACTAGGTTAGATGAGTGGTGTTATCATCAATTAAAATGTTTTATGGGAAATCTTCAAAAACCTCTGAAAATGAAAAAGGATTGGAACTTGTTTGAAAAGTTGTTAGATACACGGGGGGATGGGAAACAAAGCACGGCTAAAATGTATAGAACCCTCACAGAATTAGACACAAACACAAAACCAATGCACATAGTGAAATGGGAAAAAGATATGGGGGTGGTATTAGATGAGGACAAACAGAAAAAAATAAATAGATTGGTCCACGAAAATGTAAGTTTGAGGGATGTAGAAATAATATATAAATGTTTGATAAGATGGCACATTACACCGAGTGCTGAACATAAGATAAGTGGGGAAACGTCACCGTGGTGTTGGCGGGGGGTGTGGAGAGTTAGGGACGGTGTATCACATTTGGTGGGAATGCCCAAAAATCCAAGTGTTCTGGGAAAAAAATTGTACATTTAATTGAGACCATAACTGAGATAAATATTGGGTTAGACCCAGAGATCTGTTTGTTACATAGTTCAGAGCTTCCAGTTAACAAATATAAGAAATTAGGTTTAGGGTATTATCTAAATGCTGCAAAAAGTCTGATCCCTAAGTAATGGAAGAAAACAGAAGTACTGAGAGAGGAGGATCGGATAGAGAGAGTAAACTGGATTAGTAGGATGGAGAAGAATTACTATATATAGGAAGATAAAGATGGGGATATACCATGCGAAATGGGAAACATTTTGGAATAAACGGGAAAAGTGAAATATAGGATGATATAGAATGAGTGGATGGGTAGGATATTTCTTTCTTGCTTTAGATGAGAAGATATGAAGAAATGCAGAGTGGGAGGTTTGGAGGGGTGGGGGGGAGGGGTGGGTAGGGGGGGAAAAGGGAAACATTTTAAGAGGGGAAAAGAAAAGTAATAAGAAATAGCTATGTATATTTATTGTGAGTATGATGAAAGTGTTTGTAATTATTTTGAAAAATTAAATAAATATTTAAATTTAAAAAAAAAAAAAAAAAGTTGATTGAATGAAGAGGGGAAAACATATAAAGAAGTACAGAAAATTATAGGCTGCTCAGCTAAAATGATCGCAAATGCTTTAAAATGGCAACCAAAACCTGAAAGACATGGAAGAAACCGAAAAACTACCATCCAAATGGATAGAATAGCCAAAATGGCAAGGACTCTAAGATTGTTCTTTTTGGATCTAGTGGCCAGAGACAGTTTGTCAGATGACCCCCAAACACTGAATTCAAGCCACAGTACACTGTGAAGCATGGTTGCGCAAGCATCATGATATGGGGATGTTCCTCATACTACGGTGTTAGGCCTATTTATCGCATACCAGGGATCATGGATCAGTTTGAATACATCAGAATACTTGAAGAGGTCATGCTGCCTTATGCTGAAGAGGAAATGCCCTTGAAATGGGTGTTCCAACAAGACAACGACCCCAAACACACCAGTAAACGTGCAACATCTTGGTTCCAGACCAACAAGATTGATGTTATGGAGTGGCCAGACCAATCCCTGGATCTTAATCCAACAGAAAACTTGTGGGGTGACATCAAAAATGCAGTTTCTGAGGCAAAACCAAGAAATAGAGAAGAACTGTGGAATGTAGTCCAATCATCCTGGGCTGGAATACCTGTTCACAGGTGCCAGAAAGTTGGTTGACTCCATGCAACGCAGATGTTCAGCAGTTCTCAGAAACAGTGGTTATACAACTAAATATTAATTAAGTGATTCAAAGGAAAGCAAAATCTTCAAACATTTTTCATATATAGTGAATGTTTGAGTTTGTAAAGAAGAATACAAACACTGCTATTTTTTTGAACAGTCTAATATTCATTTTCTTAAAGTTTTTTTAGAGGAACAACACAAATTTGATATATTTTTCTTCATGTTTTGATTTGGAATAGAATGTGTAGTGTTCCCAATGCATTTGTGTGTATGGAAATAAAAGCTATTAGAAGGATTTTGAGCTTTATTCATTTTTTTCAACACACTGCTGTTATTTTGAACACAACTGTAAGTGACAAGTTTTTTTTTGTCATTTTCAAAAACTTGTGGTAAAAAAATAAATTCTTCTATTGATTCAATATGCCTCTCAGCAAATAGTTTGGGGTGTCTACTTTCCAAAAAAGGGGTTGTTTTGTGGGGTGGGGGCATTTTATGCCCAGCATTAGAAGTTTATGCCACACATCACTCACTCTTCTAAACACCTGAAAAAAATCTGTATTTTTTGCTAGGAAATTAATTTAAACCCCCAAATGTTATATTTTTTTTTAAAGCAGACACCCTAGTGAATACAATGGTGGGTGCTACAATTTTTTATGTCACATAGTACTTGCGCAGCGATTTTTTTTTCAAAAGCAAATTTAAAAAAAAACAAAACACTTTTTTTACTTTTAATGCACAAAAACACAATATATTGGCTAATTATTTGGTAAAGTATAAAAGATGATGGTATGCTGAGTAAATAAATACCAAACATGACATGATTTAAAACTGCGCATGCCCCGTGCAATGGCGACAAACTGCATATGTTTTTAACCACTTGCCCACAGGGCACTTATACCCCCTTTCTGCCCATGCCAATTTTCAGCTTTCAGCGCTGTCACACTTTGAATGACAATTGCGCGGTCATGCAACACTGTACTCATATTAAATTTTATGAGACAGCTAGAGCTTTCTTTTGGTAGTATTTAATCACCTCTGGGTTTTTAATTTTTTGCTAAACAAACCAAAAACTGAAAAAAAGGTTTTTTATTAGTTTTTGTTATAAAATTTTGTAAATAAGTGATTTTTCTCCTTCACTGATGTGCGCTCATGAGGCTGCAGTGATGGGCACTGATAGGTGGCACTGATGGGCACTGATGAGGAGGCACTGATAGGCATTGACAGGCATCACTGATGGGCACTGAAAGGCAGCACTCATATATGGCACTGATAGGCGACACTGACTGGCACTGTTAGGTGGCACTGACTGGCAGTGATAGGCGGCACTGATAGGCAGCTCTGATGCGCATTGTTAGGTGGCACTGACTGGCACTGTTAGGTGGCACTGACTGGCACTGATAGGCAGCACTGACAGGCACTGATAGGCAGCTCTGACGCACACTGATAGGCGGCACTGATTGGCAGCACTGATAGGTGGCACTGACTGGCATTGATAGGTGGCACTGACTGGCACTGATAGGTGGCACTGAAAGGCAGCTCAGGTGTGCACGTGTGGAGGGGGCGAGTGTTTTTTTTTTTTAAGTTTATTTATACACTGTCCCTTTAATTTTTTTTTATCACTTTTACTGTAATGCGATCACAGGGAATGCAAATATCCCCTATAACTTCAATGGGCATTGTTATATATTCTTTTTTATCTATCAGACTCTAGATCTCTCCTCTGCCCTTACATTATCTAATCAAACCAAGATCGGTGTGATCAGAGGCTTTCCCAATTTACAAATGGCGCTGTTTTTATATCCTGCGAAACTGAAGTGATGAAATGCTTGTAGCTTTCGATTTCTTAGACTATAGAGATGATTGGCACCATTCTGGTCTCCAATCAGCTCTATGGTCAGCTGGCAGAAACACCGGCTGCATTCTCAGGTTTCCCCGATGGCACTGGACTGCGCAAGAAGGCAATGGTAGACAGCGGGGGAGGGGGGGCATCATCTCCCGCTGCTTGTAAAAGCAATCCTGCAGCTAATTAGCCACTAGGATTGCTTTTTCATGAAAGCAGATCGTCAGCTGAAAGAAATGATACCAGGATGATGCCTGCATTCAAAGTCATGGGATGTACCAGTACGTCTCTGATCCTTGTTGGGTATATATGCTATGTTCTTTTCTTTTTTTTTGTATGCAGCCTGTGGACTGAATGGAAAAGAGGGAAGAAATCTGTCAGAAAAAGTGTGTGGTATGCCCAACATTATAATATACCGCCTTGCAACCCACCCACTTCTACTGGTGGGCACACATTAGGTCGCACGGGGCCAAATGCACCAGTTCCAAGATTGTACAAATGTCTAAATAGTGGCACGCTTGAATAAAAATTGTCCATGTATAAGTAGTACCCCATATGGAAAAAGGATGACACCAAGTCCCAAACTATCTTGCCACTACTCCCCATGTAGTCTGGGCATCCAGGGGGGGCTCCACGTGAAATACTGCAGCCGTCCTCCCTGTCAGTGTTTGCCGGTAATCGCCGGGCTCCAGCGGGTAATCGCCGGGCTCCGGTGGGTAATCACCAGTCAGGACCCAGTAATTGACACCCGCGGCTGCGATTGGTGGCGCAGGTAGGGCGGTCGCACACCCCCTACCCAAAATGCAAAATCACGTATATATACTTGATTTTGCGCAGTGGTGCCGCCCTGCTGCAGTATATGTACTGTGGATGATCGGCAACCGGTTAAGCAGACGCAGATTATTCTAGTGAAGTTCCTCTGTAAGGTGTTAGCTCTCTATTTTCAGTGTACACAAAATCATATGTAATGGCAGTGTTGTATTTTTAAAAGAATGATTGTGCTGAGGTTTATACATGTCTTTGAAACTCTTACTTGATCAGAGGGTAAGACCACCTGGGACTGTAAACTCAAGACACCCATGCAGGCACAGTGCAACCAAATAACATGCTGGAAGGACACGGGGTATGCACAGAATACTAGAAACCAAGGTAACCTACTGCAGCAAGCTAGGAAGGGATGCCAGGGGAGGGGATGCAGGAAACAAGTGTAAAGCGCAGGAGAGTGAGGGATGCTGAGCAATGGTGCAGAGAGACAAAATCAGCAAGCTGGAAAGGGCTTCAGGGCAAACAACGAGAAACAGTGCTGAGGAGGACACACACAGCAACAGGAAATGAAGAGATCCACAGATAGACACAGACAGAGAACAAAGAGAGGATCATACAACACACAGAATATGGGAATACTCAAGCTGCAGTGAACACCACTGGAACTAGAGGAGTTCGGCCTCCACATGAAGACACGTTGCTCAAACACTTAACACACAGGTGCAAAGGCTTAATAATAACTAGGTTCAGGGCAGATAGGCAGGAGCCTGAGCAACTCAGACAAGAGGTAAAACGCGGCGCCTGATTGATGTGCAAGTGTGACATTAGTGCATTTGCCCAAAGGTGTCCCAAGCCTTTTAGAATTTTAGCAACAATCCTGGCACAATGAAAACCATGTCCATCTTTTTTGCTGCATTGCAATAAGCTGACCACGTTTTGTTCTATTTTACTTTGTTTATGGAGATCGTTCATCCCACATCTTGGAGTTTTCATGGGGTTCAGATCAGCAGAGCACATTCTATGCTGCTAAAGAAGCCATTTTGCAGCATCAGGGATTGGGACCCTTATGGACAAAGAGTACCATTTCAGCTGAATGTAGTGGAGCAGGATGGTACCATATTTTTAAGCCAAGAGGCTCCACCCTTTGAGTCTCTGTCAGAAGGTATTAAAGAGTTAGCATGGTTCACTGATGGTTCAGGCCATAGTCACCTCATCTGAGGGTCAGTGGACAGTGGCATCCTACAACCCGAGTACAGATAGAGTCCTGCAGGAGACCAGAATGGGAGGCTCCAGTCAGTATGCAGAGTTGAAAACTGTAGTAATGATTCTTCAGGAGGATCCTTCTTCCCATGTGACTATTTACACTGACAGCTGGTCGCTATTTACAAGACTGACAACTTGGATGTGCATGTGGAAGTCCAATAACTGGATGATTCATGTAACAGTGGTGTGGGGAGACAAAGAAGTCTGGGACTATATCTGGAAGGAAGCTCACTCCTGCAAAATAAAATTGGGGCATGTTGGGGCACATGTGCCCTAGTCCAAGATTTCAAGAACAATAGCAAAGTAACAGATGAAATCGCCAAGGTGAAAGCAGTTGAGCCAATTGATCCTGTATTGATGAATTTGGCCAACTGGGCTTACAAGCAGACTTGACATTTGGGGCATAAAGTGACATATGAATGAAATATATGATAAAGACTGTAGTAGGGAAATGTACAGTGTGTGGAGAAGTGTGACAATCGACAAGTGTGACAATGACAAAGGACTCCAGTGGGTCAATTAAAAGGGGGAGAAAGGCATGCTGAGATGCGGCATATTGCCTTCATCGGTCCCCTGCCCTCAGTGTTGCCAACCTACCAGACAGAAATTCACTGACACGCCATCAGCAATTTACTAGCACAGCCAATTCTTTACTGGCATTTTCAAAACTTACAAAATTGCTGTTTTAAGTGCAAATTTCAGTAATCCCTCACATCTACCTTAAATCAAATTGCTAATTGCATATTGTAATTGTTTGTAGCATAAATGTGCTACAAACAAGTACAATATGCATTTAGCAATGTGATTTAAAGTAGATATTAAAGTAAAAAAAATACATTCTTATGTTATTTTTGATATAGTAAGGGCAAGTTATTATAACCCATCAGTTTTTGGCACCTAGGTGCAACTGGAGAGATTTCCCCTTAATTTCTGTTCCATAGCCACCACAGAAAGTGAGAAAAAATCCCTGGTAGTCACCAGGAATGCCAGAATTTGTGTCCCCAACTCTAAAGATTCACCTCTATTCTTGTTCTGGAATCTTGTTTGCTTTTGTTGATAGTAGTAAACAGGCGAAATATATAGAAGAAACATCTCTTTAACTTGGGCACAGACAGCAATAAAAAGTTTTTTCAACATATCAACTGGCAACCGGGTATTAAACCCTTAGCACCCAGCCCCAGCTCAGGCATGGCACTGACTCAGCACCCATTCCTCTGTGCATATATGACAGCCCCTAAATGCCCAGTTTTAATCACATATGCTTTATCTACTCACTGCTCAGTCTCCAGGCAAGTATGTTTGAGCACCCAGTACCCAGCTCTTTAAGGTTAACTCATCAAACTCTCAGTTTATATGTATTAATCTCTCAGCTGCCAGTATCCAGTGCACGTGAAATACCCCTTCATACTCAGCATTGTGCATTAATCCCTCAGTAGTCAGTACACAGACTCCATCACATCATAAATATAGCCCTGCACCATGAAAAATATCAGTCTCTTTTCCACTGATTCTGGAGCAGTGTCAGTCTCAGCTCCACTGCCCAACTTCCTGTTAAACAATCCCCAGCAACTAAACCCTGCCCATTTCCCACATCCCCAGAACGAATCGCCTGATTACAATTTGATGTCACTGTCATCTGTTAACCTGGAAGGTGTGTCACAGGTGTGGGGACCTGGGGTTCTGTCTGGGGCTGGGGGAATCTCCCACCTGAGAGATCTGAACTCTGCAGGCTTGGCTTGCCTTGCTTACTTGTGTGCCTGGTCCAACTCCATCCTGCAGACAGTGCATAGTTTGTCAGTCACACACACTCACTCACACATGACACAAGGCCTCCGGCCACTCAGCACGGAAATGTGCCATGATGTCATCACGCTCGCCTAGAGAGTAGCGCACAGCCTCCACCAGACCCGCCCCCCGTGCCGGCCAAACATACTAGGATGGTCTCGGTGGGGCTGCAGAACAGGCACTTTTCTCCTATTGTAACAAAGGTATAGCGAGCGCTACGGGTAAGTAAATATAAGCAGCTAAACACCAAACAAAGGTAACCAAAAAACCTTTCAATAATCAATAAAGGGAGAAAGATAGGTGTAGCGCTTTGAATCAGAGTGCAAAAAGAATACTCAAAAGGTGTATATGTACATATATATGAATATGAGTACAATGATAAACAGTGCGCTAATCAATAAAAGTGTTTAAAGCACACACACAGTCCACATCCCAAATCAATGGTGGTAGGAAGGGTGAAGGGAATCCTAGGAGCGAATAGAGTGCGCACTCACCAGAAGTGCGTAAAAATTACGCATGTAGAGAGATAAACTCCTAAGTATGTCTCTGGCATCCAGGCTGTGGTCAGATCGCACTCCACACCATCCTCTATGGCACCGCGGACCGCAGTAAACCGGATTCCCCAAATGGCAAGGGCGTCAAAGGTACTCCATATAAGTTGGCCACATATAGTGGCTAGATGTCAATGAGCTGTAGCCCCCCTGACGCGTTTCGTGCGATGCACGTTATCAAAGGGCGCAGGGCTTACAGCAGGACATCTTACCCCATCTATATATGCACAGGAATGGCAATCGCGCTAATCGCGGCGGCCAT